TTATATAGATATCTAAAAAACTTCAACATTTGGCTCGCAGGTTCTAATAATTTGGGTCAGTTTTCCTTTGCTTCTGCAGTCCGAAAAATTTGTAGATAAATTATTTTTAAAAAAAGATGTTATTATTTGGAGTTAATAAGTTTACATTGCTCCTTAACTTTTCAATAATAAAACAAATAAGCTGGCTTAATACTAGGAACAATTTTCACTTATTGCTATTTCTCTCATGAGCTAATTCCCATTTCAATTTAATTTACTCTAAAGCAATTGAAAAAGCTTACCCCACAAGGCGAAATCAGGAATAGAATTCCACTGAATTGGCTGATTACTTATGCAAGTCGCAATAAATTTTCAATTTCTTGCCTACACTCGGCGAACTCCTTGGAAAATAATCAAGGAAGCTTTGCCTACTTACAGATAGTTTTAGAACTTGGGCAAACTTAAGATGCTTTTCAGCGACTCTAATCAAAATGGGCCATAAATTCCGGGAATACGAAGAAAGAGTGGAAAATTGCGTGGTGCTTTGTTTTTGCTTCGGCTTTTGCTTTTGCCTTTGGCCCAACTTTACTAATTAATTGTGCACTTGAGAATTTTTGAGCAAACTGTGAAACTTAGCTGCTACGGCAAAAACATCCATTGGGAATGGGCGAAGGAGAGTGTGTGTGTGAGGTGTTTGGCACTGGCAAAGTTGACGAGTAAATAAACTAACAATTTTTCCTACTTAATTAACAAAATTGTTTTAATACTCCATCTCCATCTCCGTCTCCGACTCCCCGCAGATTCCCAGTATTCCCAGCTGCCAAGTGAGGCGTTAAGCGACGGCGATGCTGTCAACATTGGCAGACTGACTGAATGACTGAATGGCGGACTGGCTAAATGACTGGGCAAACAAAACCCCAAGTACGGCGGGCTGCTGGGTGGAGTGCGGCAATAATTAAACTTGTCACAGTACACTTTGCATTCGGGAGAGAGTCGGGTCGAAAGGGTGCTGAAAGCGGGCTAAAATGATGGGTTCTGCATATGAGCACAAACTCATAAGTATCTGCATTGAAAGAATTTCATTTCATTCAGATACTGAGTAATAAATATGCATTTTCGAAAAAAGAAAATGAGCCTGTATGTAAATAAATAAGTAATACTTTAAAAAGCTTGTGTACTTCAATTTATACAAATATAAAATATTAACAAAAAACTTCTTCACACGAATCTATGTTAAAATGAACTGAAACCCATTTAAAACCATTCCCCACTTCACTCCAGATTGCTAAATAAAGTCATATAAAATGTTAAGTAAAGTAAATATAAAAATATCAACTTTTTTAGGACAATGCTTTTCCTGTTTGCCACAAAAGTGCCCATTTGCATTTTATTGCGAATAACGTTTGGATTAACATATAAAACAGTTCTTGGGCTGCAATATCGAATGCATTGGATTGGCAATCCGTTTGTTTATGCCGGCCACTTGGCCCGACGATAAATTGCAACTTTTGGAAAAGTGCAGCGCGTAGCTTATGAATTGCATTACAAAATCTCATAAATTTCCGCATTCGCAATGCGCCAAAGTACGCGCAACAAATCGTTTTGGCGCCAAAATGCATTTATCATGAGCAGAAAGTCGCGTTCATTGCGAAAATTCAATCTGATGTCAGGGAACGCGAGAATTATGAGCTCAGCTTCAGTTCAGCGGTTTCACAGGGGGTGGTGTAGGTGGTTTTGGGTGGTTAAGGTGGTGCTTTGGGTGCCTTTTTGGGTGGTGCAAATGCCGCGGAGATGGCGTGAAATGTCTCGGCTGAATTATGCGGATGCTTTGACAAGCTCTTTTTCCGCTCAGCTTCCATTGACTTTTAATGGCTCCGGCTCGCATTATTGAGATTTACAGTTTGCGGATTTATTGGCTATCCAGGAATGGTTTATGGAAGTGACTGAGCGGTTGGTTAGAGAAGAAAAGGTGGCGAGGGAAGCCGGAAATTAAGATTGGCGGGTTTTATTGAAAATGTATGTATATAAACAGAGAATGAAAGAAGTATGATGTATAAATGAAATTAAATAAATTTCCATCTGCAGAAAATACTTAAAGATTAACAAACATTTCCTACTTTAACTTATCCAACTTGAACTTAACAAGCTTATAGCATTTCACCCTTTCATCCCAATTAGAACCCGGATAAACCCTCCCGATCCCATTTCAATCTAACTCAACTTGAATTTACGACCTTCTTGCCTTTCTACAAGTATATTGGCCACTGATTTATACAAGTTAATTAACACTTTTGTCGGCCTAACCCCCAAAAATACAATGAATACCGGAGCCATTCATAATACGGCAAAGCATATGGGAAGGACCTTTATTCCGCACAGCCTCATCTCCTGGCCACCTATGTCAACAAAAGGCGAACAAAAAGGACAATTAAACCCTTTGAAAAAAGCAGACAAAGCGAGCCAAATACAAACAAACCGAGGGGTAGGCAGCAGAAATTGAACGGAGTTGTGAAGGTCAGGATAGCATCCTTGTGGAAGGACAACGATTTATTGGATATTGTCGCTGGGTTTTCACAACATTTTATCGCCTCCAGACGGACAGATAAACGCAATAAACAATTGCCGGGGCCACAAGATGTGGATACTGGGATGTTGTAAAAACATATTTAGACTTTTCTTAAGTAAATTATTGCTGAAATCGACAGGCAGCAGACAACGGGGCCGGAAGCTAAAATGGGCGCAAAAATGTCATTAAATGGCAGGCACGACAGGAGTCCTTCCACAGCCTTCCACTCGCACATCCACATCCACATCCACATCTACATCCATCCATCCTGCTCCTGGAGAGCGGGAAAGTTGTTGTTTCCGTTTCCGCCAGAGTTGAGGTCCTTTTGAAATCCCGGCGACATCGCAACGACAACTCCTCATCGCCCTCTGTCTTTTGGGCCGAAGCTCATTTGCGAAGTTGCCGCTGCAAATATTTGCTTAGCCCTTTTGCACCCAAGCGCTCCAAACGATTACCGAAGAGTGAGCCAAGGCTTGTTTATTTTCGTTAGACATTTTCCCAGCTCGATATGGCGACACTTAACCCCCTAATGACTGAAAAGCTGTTGGCATTGTGCCTTAAACTTTCCGAGTTATTCGCCTGCAGTTGGGCGATTGGAATGTCAAAAATGTTTTAAGTTATTTGGTTCGCCAAAGAAAGGAATTTAAATATTTTAGTCTGCAAACTTTTGTTGCAACTTGCAACGGATAAATCATTATATAATGGTTCTTACCAATACTAAATAATTAAATAATCTTCATGTTAACTAAGTACCTAAGTATTAAAAAAATTGGAATTCAAGAAGTAGCATTAGCTTTTGTTAAACTTTAAATAACGTTTTAATCCTTCTTATATTTAGATGTACAAATTTCTTTTTAATAAATTCGATAGACTCCATTATTATAATGTGTTATATAAGTTCATACTTTTTTTTTTTATAAGTACAATCTAAGCAAACATAGATTTCGAAGTCTCAATCGGCATTGATTCAAAAGTACAAATTGTAACAGCGAGATTTTTTTGAATAATATCACAATATGGCTGCTTGTTGCTTACCAGAAACCATATTACCTGCTGTTGCCATTTTGTTGCTGATGCAGTCCTCATTGGGAACACTCCAGCTGCAGGACCCTTTCACATCCTCGATGTGACCCAGATCGGTGAGGCGAACCTCAATAGCAGCCTGCACTCAAACGAAGTGGTTTTCCTCAACTTTTATGCGAAATGGTGTCCCTTCAGTATTCGCCTGGCACCCATTTTCGAGCTGGCTGCAACGCAACTGAAAATGCAGTTTCCAGAGCCGGGAAAATTCCTGTTTGGCCGTGTGGATTGTAATCAGCAAGCTCTCCTCGTCGATCGCTTTGATATTCAGAAGTTTCCCACTTTGCGACTTTTCTACCGAGGCCAACTTCTTCGGCAAGAGTTTAGGGGTCCGAGAACCACTGAAGCTCTGGTTCGGTTCGTAAAGTCTCAATTTAAATCACCGATAGTTGAGTTCAAAAATTCTGAAGAGCTGGAAACAATCGATCCCAAGAGGAGATCCATTATAGCCTATTTCGAAGGGATCAATCAACCGGGTTATGAATCCATTCAGAGTTTAGCGGACCAGTTTAAAAACGATTGCGATTTTTATCTGCGAATGGGGGAAGTTAATGAGGAAAACTCAGAATTGCCTCATATTTTCTTTCGCCCTGATTTAGAGCACACTTATGGTAGGGATGAAAACTTCACAGGAAACATCTTTGAAACCTCCGAGCTGGAATCCTGGATCCTGCGGAAATGTGTGCCGTTAATTCAGAGAATGGACTTCGAAAACGTGGAGGAGCTCATCGAACAAGGGCTTCCTTTGCTGCTGCTTTTCCACATGCCAGATGACCATTTAACCATCCACGACTTCAAGTCGATTGTGGAAACTGAGCTGTCCGAGATGCGGGGTCATTTCAATTTTGCGACAGTCAATGCAGTTAAGTTCGGGAATTCCCTACGTAAAATGGGAAAGAGCACAAGAGATCTTCCCCTTGTGGTCATTGATTCACTGAAGTTCGTATATGAATTTCCCGGGTTCTCCAATATCCACATAAATGGCAGGCTCAAAAAGTTTCTGAAGGATTTTCGCAGCCAGGTCCTGTTCAAGAAACTCAAGATGAAGGATATGCCGGATTCCCAGCCATCTCGGTCCGTTTTCAAGGATCTGGGGCCCTCGAAGCACCGGTACACGCTCCTCCACGATGAACTGTGAGGAATGGCTCTCAGTCCTGTTCTGTTTGTGCAGTTTTAATAAAGTTCTCTTAGCCGCCTGCAACTTAATCTCCACCGGCAATGCACTTTGGAAAATGCTCTCGAAAATAAGGGAAACACTGTTCAACATCGTAAAAGTTTTTGTTGAACAAAAAAATAAAGTAACATTGTGTTTAAAGGGATATATTATGAGAAATATTAAGTATTATTTGTATTTTTATACTGAAAACGAAGGATATGTCTTTTATATTTATTCAAAAGCCAACATCTAGTGATATGGTGTTTAGGTATTTATGTGATATATTTTTAATCAGCTTCCTTGGTGTTTTTTAGCACTTCATTTTAGCACTACCTAGTTTATTATCTGGTTATTTGGCTGTGATTCCTTTAAGCGTTTGAATTGAATGATGCCTGTCGTAGAAGCGCATAAATCTGCTCCTTGATCCATTCCTTGTTATGGGGCACATATGTCCTGGTTCTGTTTTGATACACAATGCAGCAAATGTCGCTCAGGGTGTCGATAAAATCGAACAGCTGGCAGATGTCGTAGGTTATCATAGCGTTATAGGGATCTTGACGCTTCAGGTGCTCCTCGTAGATCTTGCAAACGCCCTCCATACATTCGTCGACGCTCTCGAAGTCGCAATAAGTTCGGGTCTCGGGAAGAAAGCCCTGTTGAACAAACAGGATGGTATGCGACATTATAAATTCGTTTTACTTAAATTCAAATGACTTCCTAAACTTCTGAACACTTAGTTTCTCATTAAATTTTATCGAGAATTAGAGAAATGGATTATATTGAATGACGAGTGGAGACGGTGATTCGGTAAGTTAACCTTTTCTTTCTGACAGCTCCAAGTAGTCTAGTGTTCAAAAACCACTCGCCGGCAGAGTTGCAAGGCAAGCGGGAAAATTCATTTAAAATTTTGCAACACTGTTGTTCAATCCAAAACTTTTTTGAGAACTTATAAAAATTGAATGATACCATCCAGTTAACAACTTTTAAAGCCATATATTTTTGCAAATCAACTGAGAACAGAACCCAAATCCTAGTAGCACAGTGTTCTTTTGCCCAAAGGTGCTTTGGCACAATTTTAAGGTGAAGCGGATAAAAAAATAGTTTACCCTGGCAACACGGCAAAGAACAAATTGCCTGCAACTAAACATAATGGTTAAACAGACACCTGCTCAAGGCTCCACTCCACTCAAGGAAAATCACTTGAGCGGCTCCGCCGGAGGTCCCAAGTTCCCTGGCTCCTCGTCCATCGTATTTCGTCCTTCGTCCTTCCTACTTATCGCGCCAGTAGACATCACCCAACAGAATCCGACCCCCTCAACATAATTTGCTGTGGTTTTGCATTTACTTTGCATCTGGAGTATGCTTGAGGCAAAAACAAAACCAGAAACGTTACCACACATAAAGAATATTTTAGATTATTTTTAAAATTATTTTTAAGCACTATTTATTATATTAAAAAAGAAAACCTATCGATGTCAAGTTATCGAAGAACTTTTTCTTTAGTATATTTCGATTTGAAAAGGTTGAAGCTATCACGCTAATATCTTTTAAATAATTAATTAAACAAATAATTGTTGCTAATTTGTCTTTTAAGTTTAAGCAAATTATACTTGGATTAAACACTTTCTGTCGGTGCAGGATCTTGTCTTGAAGCTCAGCTGCATTAGCTTCGCTCCTTGGCTGAGCGGCAGCTGCTTCTTCTTGCTGCGCCCTAGCGTCTCTTCTTCTTGCTCCCTGCAGCTCCTTGCACTTCCGTTTCCGGCTGCCCTTCGCCGCTCGTCCTTCGCATCTCACTCGACTCAAGCGTTTCAGTTTGTTGGCTTTCGTCTTGCTGGCTGCATTTTCATCCTGTTTGCAATCACTCCGCCTCCGTGGTCCTTGCGGTTGGCTTCTGGGGAAAAGAAAGTGGTGAGGAAGGGGGAAAAGGGTTTTGGGACAGGGCCTGCTGCCTCAGCTTGTTTTTGGGGTTTGCTCCGGCTTGTCCTGTGTTTTTTTCTTCTTTTTGCTTTTTTAAGTTGCTTGCCATTTGCACAAACATATGCGCATACTTAATTCGAAATTGTTTTTCCTTGGCTAAGGATTTGAATGGCTTTAGTTGCACTGCAAGAAAATGTTGATTAATGAATATTAAATAAAAAAAATGTTTGGAATTTAATTAAATGAATCAAAAAGTTAAATTATATAATTAAATCTATTTGTTCTTCTTTTTATTTTTCTTAATTGCTAATTTTGCTTTCAATTGCTTTTGAGATTGGAAAAAATTGAGAATTTTAATAAGTACTTTTAAGTAATTACTCAACAAAGGAGTAATTACTTAACGACAACATTATAGTGTTCATAAAACGTCATTTAAAATGAACTATCTCATTTCTTTTTTTAACAACACAATTTAAATATTTTATTTTCCAAAAGTAAAAGTAAATTGAATAAAATAAACCCATGCAACTGCGAGCTTTCAGTATTTCCCCAAGTGCATTTACGAGTATACGTGCTTCTGCATATAGCTACAGCCTGGCAGTTTCCCTTGTACTCAGTTTGGAAACTTAACTACACGCGTTATTTGCACAGCAAGTTGGAGCTCATTTACACGACAAGGAGAACAAACCAAAATCCGAAGGAAGGAGTAGAAAGAAGGATACCGCCTCTCAAAGAAACACGAACTGACTTTTGCGAAACTATTTTTGCACCGTTTTTAATTTAATTAGCACTCAATTTGCCAGCCTCTCGCAAAGTGTGTGTGCTCACTTTGCCCCATTAGCAGAATAGGGCGGGGGCAAATATGATTTCCGACTTGTGTGCTTTTCGCTTTTCTTTGAGGAAGCTGCAAAAGTTCTGCCTTGCCTCATATTAATTAATCGCATTAAAATGATTTGCATTCGCCGGGTAAAAAGCCAGACTTTTCTACTTTGGCTGCGAGGGAGGCGTCGACTCTTATTTAATCAAACTCAATTTATTAATTGTTGGCTCTTCGCCAGAAAAGTCAGGTGAGTTTGGGACCCCTTGGGGCATAGCATTTGGCATGGACTTAGATGGGAATCAGTCTGGATGATTGATTGTCCTTTCTGGGGGCACGCCAATCTCCAGGGAAGAAGATCGCCGGACAGCAAATGTTGACACAGGTGTTAGTCGCCTGCCACTGCAATTGTAATTGTAATTCCCCTAAATGAGTTTCGTGTTTCTTGGGGACAATTTAGATTTGTATTTGTTAACGTGACTCGGAGTTTCATTTCGCTTCTCACCCGAATGACATTTATTTGCCCTGCAATGAAACTATTTTTTCCCGGCTTCAGCTAACTTTTCTTTTTACTCCGAATGCCTTCCTCAAAATCAACTCTTAAGTTTGAGCTAAGAAAAACAGGACTTTTTAATGAGCTTGTTCCGCTTGCTAGTTTTTCTGTTTTCTAACTTTTGCCAATTTGCGAACTCCTCGATAAACTCCATAAATTCTGGAAAAAGTATGACTTATGACCTGTTGCGGGTTTACCTCTTCTGGCCATAACGACAACACATTTTTTATCGGCTTACTCGTATTGTTTATGGTTTTTTGCTCTCGGGTTTTTGAACTTTGCTAAAACTAGTTTAAAAAAAGTTTAATATTTGGAGTCAAAGTTAATTTTTATTTTGTGTATGTTTTCTTCAACTTTAACCAGGGACTGTCAGTTGTTATTATTAGCTTTTAATTTAAAGTGTTTATGAAATATAAAAAAGTATTCTGGTTTACCTACAGCCCTAGAAACTCGCAAGCAATTGGAAGGAGAAGAACATTTATTGTGCCAATCTCGAGTAGGCAACTCAGCTCATGGTTCATATATATAAAAAGCCAATTAAAATACAGTAAAGCCTGGGAACAACATCAGCAGACCATACAAAGAGCAAAAGCCCCATCAAAGTTTAAGTAGAATAATGAAAGGAGTTGAACTTTTATGACGGAAAGCCGGCTGCAATGGCCAAGGATTATGGTGCATTTAATTGGGTATAATGCGCATCGAAAGTATATTACCAACGATGCCGGAAACTCCTAGAGCCTGGGAGCTGAAAAGTTGGGTGATTAAATCATCATGAAGAGGGATTCAATTTATGCATTTAAGTGCAAAAAGAATAAGGTGCAATTTATAAAATGTTTTTTTGTGGTTTTTACTGCTAGTTTAAATATAAATATGTATTTAAAAATATGCAGAAAATATAGCAAAGGATTAAGTTAAACAAGGCTTAAGTTATTTACTTTACGAGCTTTTGTATTGGTCGAGTCTTGAAATGAACTTTTGGTGTATGTGTATTTATATTTTAATACGTTTTTAGAATGCAAAATAAATAATAATCTGTTTTGACATTAACATGTTTTAACTAATATTATACCTATAAATTAACTAAAACAAAGAGTTGGTAAATAAAAACAGATTGGGATTTTTAATAAAACATTTAAGCGAAAAAGTAAAAAGCCCTTTATTCTGAATGTAATATTGTTTTAGTTCTATTGTTTAGGACTTTCAGGGTAAATATGAATACAAATATTTATCGACATCGACCAGTCAGTTTTGGATTAACAGACAGGTTCCACAGTGCCATTCTTCCACAAGACTTTTCTCAATCAAAGCTGTCCCGTTCGACAATGGCCCTTGGGAATGCAATGGGTTTGCAGAGCTGGTTCGGACTTTAAGTTTGGCACACACTCGTAACTCGTGACTCGCCCGCTTGTCGATGTCGCTGCTATCGCTCTATTTCTCTGCAGCTCTTCACTGGCTGCTCCACAATGTCAGTTGGCCAACAAAAAGCTCGGACCACCGACTACCGACATGGCCTGCTGCTGAATGATAACAACAAGCCGCAGTGGGAAGCGGTTCGGAGCTGTGGCAATTAATCTTTACAATGGCGAACATGCGAAATGGAGTTCATAAATCCCAAGTCACGCTACACGGCACCCAGAAAAGGGACTTCGAGTGGGATTCCCCACTCGGTTTATAGTTAAACTTTAAACTGGTAACTACTGAGCTGAACAAGTGCAGTACAAATTGCGGTCTTCTTTTGGATTAGCCATCAAGGAGAGCAATTAGTGCCAAAAATATGCATGCTGTATGCTGTTCAGCATCTTCTCTTAAATCCGAAGCTCTTTTAAGGTTGGTTATGCGAATGGCTTAACCTTTTCCCCTGCCAATGTCTGAGATAAATGTATATTTATTCGAATGAAAGGGCACACCATGCCGATGGGGAAAAATAAAAGAGCAGCCATGGTAATGCCTTGATATATTAGGGTAGACAGCGTCTACAGTGCGTATGAGTAATAATGCGGCAATAGATTTATGGCAAATGCCAGGGGAGCTCCTCCATTTATACTACGGCGAGTTTGCTTGAGCTTATGTCTGTATAAAAAAATGCATATAAATATCACATTTGTGTGCGATTTATTATGGCCAAGGCGATGGCCCGATCCTGTTATCCTTTCCGCCAGCGAAATTAGCTCATTTGTCTTATTTTATGCCGGCTCAAAAATATTCGAGCTTAAAAGTGCCAACGACTGGCAGAAATTACGAGAGGCTCTTCCTGCTCGGCAACAACTCGAAATGTTATGTCTGCGGTTGGGTTGTACTTATCCCCCATTCAGATGCCCCTGCTAATCCCCTTTTGCATAAATCAACAGGCGTTTTAAGGCTGCAAAAAGGTCGCCGCCCATGTGAACTTTGCTCTGTGGTCTTGTTGCACGGGTCGAATTTATTGGGGTCAATTGCCGGTTGCTCTGACCATGAACACATTCCAGATGCTCCGATACCAATGGGTTCTTATGGGTTTTATAAAATATTTATTCGATTGCCTGCC